AATTTAAAAAAATGTTATGCTAAGCAAAAAGAAACAAACAAACTCATTATTTAGAAGTCAAAGGTTATGGATTAAAAAAAATCATACTTGTAAATATTTATGGATAAATTTTATTACGGGAAATAAATCGATAATCTAAATAGATATTTGCATGTAATGGATAAAGGTTTTTTTTTTTTTTTGTTTATAAACGAAGCAGAAATGAGTATGGTAGTATTCATACATGTAGTTACCATTAAGTAAAATTTATTAAATATTCATATGTTATCTTGCATTTTTATTATTTTTAAATTTTAACAAAAATTAACATTAAATGCAAGTTTAAAAATTAATGTAAATTATTTATCTTTAATATTTCAATAGAATTAACATCAAATACAAACTTAAATTTATTTGTAATACCTTTTTTTTTTTTGGAAAATCACAAATATCCATAGATGTTTGAAGGTATTTATAAAATTTGTCAATATCCACTTAATAAATACCTGAGCATGTATGTAGTGAGAGTGTGACATCCTTACTATCCCAACACATATATTGTAATAATGAAAACTTACAAATAAAATTTTCAATTTTGGTAAAAGGGTTCACATGAGAATCTTCAAAATTATTCTTCAATGACCACAATAATAAAAAACGAAACGCAAGAATTTACAAATTGTTTTCAAAAATAACATTTACAATTCCAAATTCATATAAAAACCTATGTTCTAAAAATCCTCTGCCCCGGTGTCACAATATCAGAGCATCCCCACAATTCAACCGTTGGCATTCTAGATGCCACTCGTAGCCAGATCTTCCTCACCTAAAACATCCACAATTTGTACGGTAAGAAAAGAAAACATCCATATGTAAAGCACATACACAACAATGTAATCTCATTACATAATGAAATATTTACAAGCATTTCTATATATCATAACTCTATCAATCATGCATCATTTTCACTTCATAATTCGCAATCACACCCATTTATCTCAAATCTTGCAATTAACATTATCATTTTCACATTCATAATTCACACAATCTTACAATTAACACTATGCCAGACCACGCCACAACTGACATAAGTGATACGAGTTAATTGCCTCACTCATCTCACACCATGCCAGAGTCACGCCCTCCCTGTAGCATCACTTACCCAGGGGCCGTGCCATCCCTGGTCATTGATGTGAGGAACCACAATCACATCACAATCCACACAATCTCTTACAATTAACCCTATCCCAGGGCTGCCATATTTGACATAAGTGTTATGTGTTAACTGTCTTACTCATCCCACACCATGCTAGGGTCCACGCCCTCCCTGTAGCATCACTTACCCAGGGGCCATGCCATCCCTAGTCATTGATGTGAGAAACCACAATCATAATCATATTCACATCCATACAACATCTCATCTCATAGCTCAAATCCATACATAATTTCACATCACATACACAACAGATGAGTCCAACAAAATAAGGGTTTACACACCCCTCAAGCAATTCACGTCTAGATTATCAATTCTTATCAAATAATATAACAATAACATTCATAAATTAATAAAACAATTAATAGAACTATCAATTTAATATATTTTTAACAGAAACACTAAAACCCCCAATTATTCCAAAACCTAACTCACGGGCATTTTTCTACAATTTCGTTCTCTCTCCCAAATCATCATTCTTACAAATTAAATATATATTTTTAATCCTCAACACATACAGAATCTAATGATATCATTAATTCCTCAAACAGAAATAATCTAATTTTTCCAATACCTAACTTACAGACACTTTTCTATAATTTCATTCTCTCTCCCAGAACATCATTTTTACAAATAAATCATATATTTGTAATCCTAAATATATACAGAATCAAATAAGACCAATAAATCTTCAAACAGAAATAATTATAAAATTACTCATAATCCTAAGGGCTCTTCCTCTACCCAATTCTCTCATGTAACTCTACATACAAATAATTCCCCTTTCCCCCGTACTTGGATATGTAGAAGCTGAATCTACACAAGATCTGGTTGGTCTCCCTCGGTGGGTTCCCCTCGGTCTAAAGTAGAAAGTAGAGGAAAAGAAGAGAGAAAAGAAGAGAGAGCAGAAGAAAAGAAATCAGAAAATGAGAGGTGTGCTTTTTGGGAGAGGCAGAGAACTCAATTTATAGGCATCAGGCTTCGCTGGAACGGCCCGTTCTAAATTCGGTACGGCCCGTTTTGGACCATAAAAACATGGGTAAAAATCACACCCAGAACGGCCCGTTCTCAAACCAGAACGGCCTGTTCTAGTGTGCATTTATTACTCACAACTGCCATAGCCTGTTCCCACTTAAAGTTTAAAGCAGTTTTTAATAGTCCGGAACGGCCCGTTCCAACTTGAGAACGGCCCGTTCTGGGTTATTAACTCACATACAATTTGGTAGTTTGGAACGGCCCGGTCCAATTCTGGAACAGCCCGTTCCAAGCTACTAAATCACATATCTTTTGATAGTTTGGAACGGCCCGTTCCAATTCCGGAACAGCCCGTTCCAAGCTACTAAATCACCCTAATACCTTTATAAAATTACCAAAATACCCTCAATTTAATAAAATAAAAATAAAATAAAACTGGGGTGTTACAGAGAGTGTACAAATTTTCATTTAGCGAGACAAGGATAGGTACCCTACTACCTACCCCACACAATCCCATTACCATCCTTAGTCAAGGCTAATGATAATTTATAAACACCTTCTTCTATTCACTGAGACTCTTTTCAAAAACAAAACTTTGACGAATGAATAAATGTCAAAACAGATAATATCTCAAATGTGGTGATTTTAATGATGTCCACCAATTTGAGATTAAAGTATTGGCATCAAGGTAAGATCTTAGACAAATTATTGTTTATAAGCATCATCCTACAACTCTACATTGAAAGAGAAAGAAGTATATTTTCAAGAATAAAATTGTGATAGTTGAAGAGATATCAAAACAGACAATACTTTAAATTTGATAACTTTAATGATGGAGATGTAAGTCACTCTTGTCCCTTAATTTTGATTATGAGACTTATTTTGATATGATAAACAATCTCACATTATTTAGAAATCATAACTAAGATTCGTTTATAAACACTATCCTACATCTTTATTATTGATCTTCATTATTTAAAGAGAGAAAAAAAGCACTTGATAAAAAAGATGATAAAAGAAAAAGAATGATTTAAAAGTAATGATGGAAACAAAATAGTCCGTAAAAAATACATAAAAAAGAAACGTCTCTTTATTATATGTATATATAGGTATATAAGATAAAATGATCGGGACTCACATTATTCGGTGAGACATATATAATTTATTAAATAATAAAATCTCTTGAAGTATATGTTATAAAGTCATATTGCTAATTATTATTAGATTCTTTACTATAAAAATATCACATTATTTTTATTTTATTTTATGTCTAGAAATCATCACATTACTATCTTTTATTTAATTTCATGTTTTTAAGCATTGATAAAAATAAATATTGAAGGAAAAAAATTATTTTAGCACTATTTTCTTCACAAAATGTTAAAAGCATGAAATAACATTTTTTTTTTTAATTATAAACATATACATATCGATTGATAAATAAAATCACAAAACTAACCGAACAATAAATCTCAAGACTTAAATATAAGTAGGAAAAGAAACTTTTATTATTTATTTTCTATTTGAAATTAATAATCATAAAAAAAAATTTCTTCTATTTTTTTTCTTTTTATTAATTGTTTAATATAAAATGATAAACAAATTACTTTATGCATAAATGTTTACAATAAATATAATATATTTTTATAATTAGTAAAATACATAACTTTTTCACTTTATAGGAGTGATGTTCCAACCAAGGTTATGGGAATATTCGGTGGTCTAGCAACCTCGGAAAACTCGCAGCTAAGAAGCCAACTTGGTAATAAAACTCAAAGCACCAACTCTGAAAGATTTTTGTAGATGATTGGATACCAATTTAAAATTACATTTAATCGAAAAATATATGTTAAAATAAAAATTTGTAAGTGTAATTTTTTTTTAACCTTAACTGATTAGAAGTCAACTAGTTCCAATCATACTCCTTATGTCGAGCATCAGGTCATGATAAAGAATATTTAAGGCAAATTTAGGAATCTGAGATAGTTCTTTGCTAGTGAAGTTTTGATTGGATATCAACAAAAAATCTGATTCTCATGTCAGTGCTTATAAGACAAGATGAAATGTGTATATTCAGTATAAATATTTAGGGAGTTGTTTGCCTTGTGCTTCTTATAATTACTCATAGGATATTTGTTGAGTCAGAATGATGTTTATTGTGTGATGAGATATGATTATGAAACATGCCTCTACAAAGAATTTTTTCATTTGTTATGCGCCTATGCCTATCATTAATGTTTTCTTGTTTTATTTATATGAATCTAATTAGTTAACAACGAAACCCCATGTTTATTATGAATGGATTGAGTTCATAGTTCCGTATTTTCCACTCACACAAGTTGTGATACATAAAAAAATGTTTCCCAAATCATAAGATACATTAAGTTATGATTAGATAATTAATCCTAAACTTGGCACATTTTCATTTTCAAACGGGTTGAAAGCATGATGGAAGCTATTTTTATATGATAATGACTAATGAGACAAGTTCAGGTCTGGCTCTTGAATTGTTGTCTTTACCAATGAGGAAAACTGTTGAAACTCCACATATGCTTATCGAATAAAATTCTGTTGTCACAGTACTTTCTTAGAGCTAGAGTGCTCAACAAGGAATTTGTCATTTCATCAGCGAAGTTAAAACAAATGAAGTGAACCAAGTTTTAGTAGATAATGCCACACGTCCCAAATGAGGTAGTTTATAAGACACGTCAACTGAATAAGTTTTCTAATCTCAACAAATGGCAATTGTTGAGTGTATTCAGTAATTTGAATTATTGGAAGTTTATACTTTATGTCGTAAGGCTTGTTCAATTAATATAGAGCAAAGATATCGACAAGTAGGAAACATCACAATCAAACTACAAATCTTCTTGCGATACACCACTTAATACTTTTGGGAATAATGTGCAATTCGGAACTAGCAGAAGAGAGATTCAAAAGGATCGGTGAAATGGGCATGTAGCAAGTTATCAATGTGTGATCCAATGGCAGAGGAAGTGGCTAGTGAGACTTTTTACTCTCAATCCCATAGGCTGCAGTCAGCAGAAGCAAAACAACTCATCTATTTGAAAGTTAACAAACCCGTTACCGTCAAGGTGCGTTCCCCCATTTAATTTTGATGGCTGTTTCATGTCTTAAACGTTAATAAATTGTAATTAGCACATGTTGAGAAAAAAAGTAAAGGGATTTGGATATTTTCTGTTCGATCCTATGATTGGTTTGAAATGATGAAAATTTTCTTTTGTTCTGAGTTCAAACATGATATATTCACGAGTAATTTTTTGGTTGTTGACTACTTACCCCTGTTAATTCCAAAGGGCACAATCACAAATGTCTTAATCTTTTACATGATATTGCAATTCGGTGCTGAAAGAAATGTTATAATGAAGTTGATCCAAATACTTGATTTGCATTATAAACAATTTGGTCTGACTTTGTCTGATTTCCTTGTATCGAAGTTTATGTTGAATTAAGCTTGTTGTCCTGTACTTTATTTGGATAATTTCTGCAATAATTATCTTTTTTTTTAATCAATCTAATAATGAATATAGGAAATAAGTGTTTCTTTTTAGTGAAACATTTCATATTCTACTGATTTGGTCTTTATTGCAGTTTGAAGATGTGGTGCATAAAATGAAAAGTAGCAAAGGGAAAGGCTTGGTATGCAAAAAGGAGGAAAGTTCTGAGGAGGCACTGATCTTGAAAGGAATAAGTGGTGCTATTTTTCCAAGTGAATTGTTAGTCATTTTAGGCCCTTCTGGTTGTGGTAAAACAACTCTGTTAACTGCATTAGGAGGCAGGCTAAATCATGGTACCACTAAAGGAAGCATAACCTACAATGGCAAACCCCTCTCAAAATTAATGAAGCAAAACCTGGGATTTGTTGCTCAACACGATGTCTTCTATCCTCACCTATCAGTCACCGAGACACTAGTCTTTTCTGCTCTTCTTCGCTTGCCAAATAGCCTCTCCAAACAAGAGAAAATCTTGAAAGCTCAAGCAGTTATGAATGAGCTTGACTTGACTCATTGTAAGGACACTATAATGGGAGGGCCACTCCTAAGAGGTGTTTCAGGTGGGGAATGGAAAAGGGTTAGCATAGGGCAACAACTTTTAACTAATCCAAGTCTCTTGCTTGTTGATGAACCCACTTCAGGTCTTGACTCAACCACTGCTAGGCGAATTGTGGAAACTCTCTGTGATTTAGCTAAAAATGGAAGGACTGTCATAATGACTATACATCAGCCTTCCAGCAAACTGTTTTACATGTTCCAGAAGATTTTGCTTTTATCAGATGGTAGAAGCATGTACTTTGGAAAAGGAGAAAATGCCATGAGTTACTTCTCCAGTATTGGTTATGCTCCAACTGTAGCCATGAATCCAACAGATTTCTTACTTGATCTTGCAAATGGTATGAGAACATTAACCTTTCAAACATGCCTAGTAAATAGCATCCTTCTTTGTTGGATTAAGACATGGGTGACTCACTCTTTACATTCAACTAGTTTGTGCCACTGCAACATCATAATCATGTATATCCATATCAATGTGAGCATTTAAGGACAAATTTTTTGAATAAACAATACTATGAAATTAAGTATGATCTATTTTTTTCAAACTGAAACCGTTCAAGTCATGTTGGTTCAAGACTTCTTCATATAGTTGATATCTTTGGAAAAGAAAAACTGAAAGCAAAAATAAAGTGAGATGTTTTTATATTCGTTGAAATAGTTTTTGCATCACTCTCATCCCAAGGTAATGCATCAGATTGTTTGTTGTTTATTTCTCTTTTAGATTTCTACTATCGTTAGTCTATTCATTAAGTAGAAACTATCTTACAACTTTTTAGGTATTTATTCTGAAAATTTGGAAGAGGATACAAATGCCACAAAACAAGTGTTGTTATCGGCTTTTGAGAGTAACCTTGCAAGACATGTGAAGACGGAACTTCAAATTTCCAGGGTTACATTTCATGACAATTCAGAAGATGAGATATTTGGTCAATGTTGCACAACTTGGTGGCAGCAGTTCCCTATACTACTAAGAAGGGATTTCAAAGAAAGAAAACATGAGCAATTTTCAGTCCGCAAAATCTGTCATGTTTTGTCCATATCATTCTTTGCAGGCTTGCTCTGGTGGCAGTCTGGAGCAGATCAAATGCAAAACCAGGTATTTATATGATACAGTACTGAACAAATAGTCATTTTTGTCCCTGAATTTGAAAGTTGTTATCTTATTAGTTCCTAGAACTAAGAAAATGCCATGCAAGTCTTTGACAGTACAAATTGATTATATGACATTAATCCAAACTTTAAAAAACATGCGACTGATAATATTGATAAATATTCAGGGAACAAAAAGACAATAAGTAACAAAATCTCTTAATCCAGTGATTGTAAGACTTATCTTATGACATAAGGGTCAATATGATACTCTCAAGATTGATTCAAGTTAAAATTAAATAATACATGATGATCAGTGGTTGTTATGTTTTGCAAGTGCATATTAGTCTTTAATTATTAGTTTTAGAATACTATGTTGACCATATTTATAGAAGAAAAAAAATGATTATAAATAGTTAAGTTTAGAGACTTATTTAATATTTTCGATGTTTTAGGGACTAATGTGACAGATGTGAGCACTTTCTGGAGAAAAATGGCTATTTACTCTTTCAGTACTTTGGCATAATAAATCTGATATATTTTTTGATTAGTTTCTTTTGCTGTGTAGGTAGGACTACTTTTCTACTATACACAATTTTGTGGATTCTTCCCTATGGTCCAGTCCATCTTTACCTTGCCTCGTGATCGCGAAATGATAATAAAGGAAAGGTCCTTCTACATGTATAGACTCTCATCTTACCTCATAGCAAGTAATCTTGTTGATCTTCCATTACAGCTAGCCTTGCCAACCCTTTTTGTGACCATTACATATTGGATGGGAGGGCTAAAAGCCAATGCTTCAATTTTCTTTCGAACTCTAGTTATTGCTCTTCTCTATGCTTTGGTATCACAGGGTATTGGCCTGGCTATTGGTGCAGTGCTGGTAAATAATCAAAGAATGGCTGCTACAGTTGGAGCTGTGGTTATGACATTATTTGTTCTAGTAAATGGCTTCTTTGTTCAAAATACTCCAGCATTTGTATCCTGGATAAAGTACATATCTCATAGCTATTATTCCTATAAGCTCTTGCTAGGATCACAGTTTAAAGATTATAACACTTACCATTGTGGTCCAAATGCCACTTGTTCAGTAGGGAACTATCCTACAATAAAGCATGTAGGCCTCGACAAGCAAGGTTTATGTGTTGCAGCTTTGGTGGCAATGCTTGTAGGCTACAGACTAATTGCCTACTTTGCCCTTAGGATTGGCACTAGACATAACTAGAGCTTTTCTATTGAAGATGTCAAAATTTCGTTTGAAAGGGAATACTGGTTAGTTAAGTATTATTCTGTGGTTAATTTTAACAATATTTTGCTTTTATTGTAGTAACTTGTTTAAAGTTGTATGAAAACCATGGTTACTAATGCAATTGGAAATGGAATCCAATCATTCAAATAATTGATCGAGTAACTGATCAAATTGGAAACTGAAATAGGGCGTTCAGAGAGGAATTATCGACAATTACAATATCATGATTTCTATTTTTTAGACTGAATATTGGTGGTCTTAAAAAAATATTGGAAGGTGTGAATGTGACGATGTATGTTCTGATGGAATAACAGCAATATTACTGTGCCACTGTATGCAACCACTACTAGATTTTAATTCTTTAACAACATTTTCTTGTTTACATTTGTTAAAATGTTACTATATATTATATAAATATGTTATTTTGTAACATTTTTTTGAAAAATGTCATTATAGATAGAGTAATATTTTGTATTTCAATATTATTCTTTCCAATTGTTTTTAAAATCAAAGTCCCACATCGAGTAAAAAAAATATTTCTCTTATATCTAATTGTAACCCATAATTAAAGTCACACATCGAATAGATTAATGACTCATAAAGAGTATATATACTCATATAGTTATATTTAAGATAAATGAAATTTGATATTCTATATATAATTAGTGGTGACTAACTAATGTCTTTCCCTTAAAACTAAGAATTCCTAGAAGTTTAGGAGACATAGAAATATAATAATTGATAGTAATATTTAAATTAAAATTAATTATTATTTTATAAGATTAACAAAATCTTGACAACATCATTAAAATGTTACAAAAAATTATTTAAATGTTACACAAATACTACCTTGATAACATTTGAAAAATGTTACCTAATTATGCAAAAATGTTACTAAAAGTCTTTAGCAACATGACCTATATACAACATTTAATAATATGTTACTAAAACAAATTAGCAACATTTATACATAATTAAGTAACATTTTTTAAATGTTACTAAATACCATTTGTGTTGTAGTGAACAAAATAGTAGACAACAACGGTTTCTGCCTTAAGGTGTTTTAATTATCTTTGTGAATCAGTATGTACAACACAACCATTGCTTCTTAATTTGTTTAATTCTAAAGCTCCAACTATAGAATTTTAGAAGCTTGTTTTCATTCAATCTACAAAATTGAAATCAAAAGAAACTATTTAAAATTTTAAACATAGTAAATTTGAGCGTAATTTAATTTTACAAAATCAACATCAACTTATAAAATAAGATTATTTTTTTATATACTTTATTTTAATTATATCATTAGTTGATATTGAATCTTGATAGTAATTACATTTGCTAATGGAGTTGGATAGTGGATACTTATAAACTAACAAGAACATGCAATGTTCAACATTTCTGAGGCATGCCAACCTTCAAATTTTATCTCAGTCTACTAATCTCACAAATCTATATACAATAGTTTGGTCCACCTAATAAGGTGATGTTGATTACGTTCTCAACCATATAATTTACATAGCTATTAATGATTAAACAGGTGACAACATACATGAACATACTAATACAATCTATTATTGCCAAGGCTTTTGCTTCATCATGACCAAGCAACAGCGTGGCTGAGTTAAATAGATGTGTTCCTCTTTCCCATAGCCCAACTGTTCGCATGTGATTTGGACCACACGTACATACATAAACATATATGGTCCCTACGAAGTTCTATGTCAACAATTGCAACATCCTAGGCCGAATGCTGTCTCCAATGGTTCACATGTATCATAAACTGCCAAACTGAGATTGAATCTTGCTACTCGCTACATGCACTCTTCATATTTTGAAATTTCCTTGAGTTACCTATTGGTCTAAAGAGGGAGAGAGGGGCAGGAGACTTGTCTTGAGCTATCAAACCTAAAAGGTCACACAATAGCACACAAAAGGAGTGTCAACAAGTTTGGTTTTTGTTAAAAAAGTCACCCGAATTCACGTAATTAACATTAATATGCAGTTGGATTCAAATTAGTTTGAATGTAATATCAAACATGAATAAAATTGAATAGATTTTTTTTTTTGGTGATGGTATTTAAATATGTTATTTGTTTTTAATTTTTATATAATTTTGAAATCATTTTTGACTTGACAACAAATAAAATAAATTAACACTGTAAAATTTAATAACCACTTGGATTCTTATTAATAATTAGCCTTTTATGAAAAGATATAAAATATAAGAGAAATTGGATTCAATCAAAGTTTCAAATAATGTAAACTAAGAGACTTATCAATTATATCATCCTTCCAGAACTCTTAATTAGTCTTTAAAAATGAAATTTATTGAAAGTGTGGTTTGATTTAGGGAAAAATTGAATTTTACGAGGGTATATTATTAAGATAAAAAGTAATATTTTTTTATTTCACATCAGTCTTCTAAAATTTCATATTTGACTCAAAGAAGAGATAAATAAAGTTTAACTAAGAATTGTTTCTATTAAGCATATTAAAGTATGTAATTTGATTTTATTAATAGGAACACAAAGTGGAATCAAACTAAAATTAAAAAAATGATTAAAAAATGATAATGATAAAAAAAAAACTAAAAAATACTAACTTTCAATTTTTGTTAGTTGGGTGATTTAGAACAATGTGATTATGTGTTAAATACTCCTATCAAAGATCACCAATCTAGACATTTGATTTAACATGGTGATATAGCCCACTACGGGAAAAGTAGTGCATTTGATTCAGGAGAAAAGGAGGACAGAAGAAAATAGGATTTTTTTTCTTTTTAATTTTTGTGGTTTAATTCAAATATTTTAGGGGAGGGGAAATAGGGAGTTTAAAATTTACCCTTATCATTTTTTCTCTCCTCTAATATTAAGAGAGAATTTGGAAGAAAGAAAAACCTATTTATAAGTTTTAAACTATATAGACTAATTAAAGGAAACACTATAGATTAAATTATTTCAATATTTTATTTTATTTCTATTTCTCTATTATAATCTACAAGAATATATAATAGTGTATTATCCGTATTTTCCTCCCCATCTAAGCATTTTCTTACAAAACAAAACAAGATCACATTTTCTTTTTTATTTGTTTTCTTCTCTTTACTTTAGTCAAACCAAGCATTGAAACATTTTTTTACTTCTCTTT